CCGTGGCCGGCAGCTCGGTGGTTTCTCTGCGTCATCAGCAATGCTGATTTAATCCTGCCAATGTCCCTAAGTGGTAAGTACTGTTATTCCCATTTACAGAAGGGGAAACTCATTGGTGTGAGACTATGTGGGTCATGCATGGTGGTCCTTTGCTCTAGACCCGGTGTTCCTGACCTCCGGGCTTGGTGGCCTTCCCTCTCCCTGGCCTCTTCTCTCCAGGCCATCCCCTCTGTGTTCGGTGGCTGCTTTCTCATCACGTGAAGGAAATGATGCTGTTCAATGTGTTTTATAAAAGAGCTTTGGGCCTTAAACTTCTTTTTAAGTAAGATTGCGCTATACCCCATAGAAATGTGATCCCCCTCGGCCCTAGAAGTTGAACTTCCTGCTGCTTTCCACTTAAAGTGCCCTGCTTGGGGCGCCTGGGTGGCTCAGTTGGTTAAGCGTCTGCCTTCCGCTCAGGTCATGATCCCAGGGTCCTGGGATCGAGTCCTGAATCCGTTCCCTGCTTGGCAGGAAGCCTGCTCCTCCTTCTGCTGCTCCCTCTGCTCGTGTGCGGTGTCTCTCTCTCTCTCTCTCTCTCTGTCAAATAAATAAATAATAAAAAGTAAAATAAAGTGCCCTGCTTGGAGCTGCAGACAGCATCGCCTCATGTGAATCCCTTCGGGGTCTGTTGAGGTAAAGGACTCCTTGACCTTTGGAAAACACAGTTACAGTTCTGATCTGAAAAAAAAAAAAAGTAAAATGACCTCGCATCGACATTGGTCCTGAGTTTATCAAATCCTTTAAATAAAGACCTCAAGGTAGGCAGACACATGGCCTGTGTTCTTCCGGTCCAAGTTTGATTACAGAAAAGTATGTGAGGTCTGACAGAGATGAAGGTCAATGGTTTTCAAGCTGATTTCCGACACGTTTCAAGGAGACACTCCAGAGAAAGACTTGGGGGTACAGGGCGGCCTGGCCTGAAATTAGAGGTCCCCTAGGCTTCTCCTTACTTTCAACCAGTTAGTCCAGTCTTTCAGTTTCTATATTATAGAATAAGCCCTGGGATCACATTTTATTTAGGGGGCCTTTCCCTACCTGTAATTGTTTTTTGTATATTAAAAACCAACTGAGCTAACCGACTCCATCCTCTGCCTCTGAGGCCACTGAGGTGCTGAAGGGCAAATTCACTTCCCCAAGGTCACGTATTGTTTCAGCTAAAAGCAATTCCTTGTATTCCTCCTTTGAAAGTTCAAATGCTGGGCCAGTTGCCAAGTCTGTCGGAGTTCGTTCCTCTGCTGTCTGGGTCAGCCCTTATTCCATCCAGCGGTGCTGACCTGGCCAGATTTCCTTTTTGTGTAGGGCTCCTCCGGGTGTGTTTGGAAAACAAAACACCATTCAGGTGTGGGGGGGGGGCAGATTCAAGTCGAGAATCCTGTAACGGCGTGCTCTTTCTCTTTGAGGTACAGTCAGCCTGTGTGGTTGCCCCTCCTGCTGATTTATTTATGCCTTGCAGGCAGCCTTGCAGAGAACACAGCCTTGCAGAGAACATTGAGCAGCTCTTCTCCACCCAAAGGCCGTTCCCAACAGCCCCATCTTGGGAGACTGCATTAGAGAAAATTATGCCCTGAAAGGAAAAACTGTTTTCACCCGTGGAAACACCTGTTTTCTAACTTTCAGGAAAATAAAGCAATAAGCCAAGCACACAAATACAAATGTCGATGACATTTTGCCGCTAGCAATAATGGATATGTGGTCATTTCCATCTTAGCCTCCTTGTTTACTAGAAACTTCTTCATTTAGCTCTGTGACAGATGAGAAGCTCACTTCCACAAATAGCTCTCTACCCACCTAAATATTCAATGCCTTTATGATCTTTTGTCTAAAAACTCAGCTGCTCATCCCTGCCTCCTGGGTTCGTGGTCTGGAGACCCTGCCCACATCCTGGCCTGTCAACCCCCGTGTGTGGTTGGTTCTCAAGAAATAGAGAAGCAGAGTCCTGGGACCTGGTTTCCTTTCTCCCAGCTTCGACTCTGCTCCTCTCTGCCATTGGCTTTATCTACCATTTCTATTTCTAACCCCTGTTTCCGCTCCCTCTAATTGTTCCCATTGGGACCAACATATATATACTAGCATTCTTATTATTTCCAAAGATATATTGAAGTCCTACACTGAGATTTCCTACAAGGGAAATGTAGATTCTGGTTCTGAAAAGACAAGCATCCAGCTCTTTTATTTAGGTACATCTAATTCCCAAGAATTTGGAGACCGATATTGGCTTTCGTGCTACTTAATTACATATTCAGAGATGTTATCTAAAAACTCCTCTGGGTGTCCTATATATGCGCTGATATTTTTAGTTTCACTTTTGCTTCTTCTGTTCCTAAGAAGATTTAAAGAATATCTAGCTCTCCTCCAAAAGAGAGAAATCCTCAGAGATCGTAAAAAGCAAGTCAAAATATGTTAATTAGTAGTATGTCACACGAAAGTGATTTGCTGTCATCCCTGCCAGTCTTTCAATTATTTACTAGGATTAAGATCCTGAACTTGGTCTCAGGTAAATCTCTAGGGTAGGGAAATGGTTGTCTCCGAGTGTTGATAATGTCCTATAACATTTGGGTATCATGAAATGACACAAGGGAGGAGTTCGACCCTTTTCAGAGTTTGGGAAATTTCTCCCTGTAAAGCTTCAAGGCAGGACAGATTCCTGGGTATATTGGTAGCTGGTGGGTTAAAATAACGAATCTTTATGTACAAAGGGGCTTTTTACAGGCTTTGCCTCAAGGATAGTCCTGTAGGATGTATATTCATAAACCAGAAGCCTCAGGGATTAGTCCTCATATCAGAGAGAGGGGAGTTTGTCATTTATTTGTCACAATTTTATTGGTTCTTGTTCTGCAAATCCAGCCCTAATATCTTGGCAGAGAGGTAAAACTCTATACGCTTCCTTATTTCATTCATTTTGGGCATTATTGTCTTTCCTATTTGGGATGGATCTATCACCATCCTAACTTGAATTTACTTAGAAGTAAAGTTTGTCCCCGAAGAGACATGCATTTTTAGTTTACAGCACGTGCTCGCCAGTGACTGTCTCTGGGGCCATGCCATGCACTTCTTGGCTTGAGGCTGAAGCCTTGAACTTCCCATGACTGGAGTTGAGAGCAGTGTCAACTTCCCCCTGAGTCACAGGGCTCTGGGGGTGGGGGGGTGGAGGGGGAGGTAGAGATGCTGGAATAAAATCAGGAACCTTTTAGGAGAGAGTAATGCATACTTGGCACGCAGCCAACAGTGTCAAGTCAGTTAATATTCTTGCAATTTCCAGGGTCATTTCTTTTTTTATTCCTTAAATATAAAAGTAATCTTGTCTTGTTTTCAAGGCCTCAAACACAGTATTGGTCCTTTAAAAACTTCATTCCCCAAACAGTACTCTCTGGCACCCTCCACAAGAGCTCCTTGAAGCCAGGTACTGTGCCTGGCTCATCTGAATATTCTTGGCGCTCCGCACAGGTTCTGGGCCACGGTAGGCACAGCATGAATATTTGCAGAATAAATGCATGCAATTTAGTCTCGAATTCCGCCAAGGATTTGAGCACCCCAGACTTGGTATAAAGCAAAGCAGAGCCAAAATGCAGACCTACGAGAGTCCCTTTACACTGTTGCCCCTGTCATAGGGCTGCCTCTTCTCCCTATTTTCATTTTGGTTTCATTTTATTTTTATAAAGCTTATGACTACCATAAAAAGCACGAAAACTCTATTTTTTAGATTGATTTAACAGGGTGACCATGTTTTTGTTTGTTAACTCGTTACTAATCTACCATAATTTAAGGACATTTGTCATATTTTAAAATAGATTGCTTATTCCTGTTTTAACCCCCTTAAGTCTTTTTATTTTTTTTTTCCCTGCCTGCTGCCAGGATAAGAAGGAGTGAAGGGATGGTTGAAAATAGGACTGCATTTTAGCAGACCCTGTGCATTCTTGATGTGTTTCTTATACTATCCCTCCACTGGGTTGACTGTACTAATCCCATTTAAAAGGTAAACTAAAGGGGCGCCTGGGTGGCTCAGTTGGTTAAGCGTCTGCCTTCGGCTCAGGTCATGATCCCAGGGTCCTGAGATCGAGCCCCGAGTCTGGCTCCCTGCTCAGTGGGGAGACTGCTCCTCTCTTTCTCTCTCTCTCTCTCTCTCTCTATCCCTCTCTCAAATAAATAAAAATTTAAAAAAAAATAAAGGTAAACTAAAAATATTCATTGGCGAGTGATTTGTCTCAAGTCTCTATATTCATTATCCGTGGCTACTGCAACAAATCACCACACGCTTAGTGGCTCAAAACAACACAAATGTAAATGTATCTCTTTCAGCTCTGGACCTCAGAAGTCCAAAATGGTTCTTATTTGGACAAAACCAAGGCCTCACCAGGGCTACAGTGCTTTCGGAGGCTCAAGGGGAGAATCTGCTCCCTTACTTTTTCCAGCTTCCGGAGGTGCCCCGCATCCCTTGGCTCGTGGTCCCTCGCCCCATCTTCAGATCACCCTTTCCTTGACCTTCCTGCCTCCTCCTCCCATTTTGTAAGGATCCTTGTGGCCACACTGAGCCCAACCAGATCATCTCCCCATCTCCACATCGTTAATGACACCTGCCAAGTCCTTTTTGCCATGTAAGGCAGCAAATTCACAGATCCCTTAGGATGGGGAAATCTTTGGGCACATTATTCTACCTACCATAATCCTAGACCCAGAAAGTGTCTTCACAGCATTTACCTTCTGAATATACAAAGGAGACAAGATTTCGGCTTGTGTGCCTTCGCCTGATAGCCTGTCTTGGATGTTACTGAATTTTATGAAGAACTAACCTCTTCTGTATTTGTGTGGACAAATGGGGGTTGAGCACACGGATAGCAATGCTATTGTAATTACTTTGGCACCTTGGCAGTTGAGAGCCTGTGAGTTTTAGAAGTTTTTTAAAACTTGCCCTATAGTGACATGTTGGATGAACTCAGAGTCTTCTAACTTTTGTCTTTTAGGCTTATGTACAGAAGTACATCGTGAAGAATTATTTCTACTATTACCTATTCCGATTTTCCGCCGCTCTGGGTCAAGAAGTCTTCTACATCACATTTCTTCCGTTCACTCACTGGAACATTGATCCTTATTTATCCAGAAGACTGATCATCATATGGGTTGTAAGTATGCTGATTACTCACTAACCATGACTATGCCTACAACAACTACCTGCTTTGGCATTCAAATACTTTGCGTATGTGGTCTTCTTTTTTTTTTTTTTTAATCGCTTAGAGTTGAATTTTTATATGGTTTACTTTGGAAATATTAAAAAGCTATGAACACAACTTGTTTGCAAAAACCAAACAAACCTGTGATGCATGTACGTTGGCACACACCTCTATTTGGGGGAATAAACCTAGAAGAGAGATGATGTGAGGTGCAGAGGAGAACGGACATTTCTGAGAACCCATGTATAGGGGCGTAAAATGCATCCTCCCAAGAGGCCAATTTTAGTACAATTTGACCCAAAACTGAAACTAGAAGCCATTGACTAAATCATTCCAAGTGGTCTTAGAAGCTCGGAACTAGGGCCCTGGCACTTGGGAGGACGCTACCAGTCGCTGCATGAACGTGCTTAGTGACTAGTCTGTGAAGGCGAGGGAGTTTTAATGATCAACCAGTTCAGAGGTCAGTTTGCTTCCCTGAGAGGGGGAGCATCAGGGCGAGGCTGCCAGCACGCTGTTTCCCCAACTCAAGATTCTGCGCTGAAAACGGGTTCAGGAGCTCTTGGCTGTGTGAAAGGAGTCTGGGTTCTTGTGCAACTCTGCTCTGAGAAGCTGTATGGTCTTAAGCAAATGACTCCACCACTCAGCTTTATTTTTCTCATTTGTAGACCAAGTTCAAGGGTCTACAGAAGCCTCCGTCAGAAGTCATAACCTCACATGTCCTTTAAGGCAAGAGAAGGGAAGTAAAAGAGTGAAGTCCTGGGTGGGGATGGTGGGGAGGGGGTGTCAGTGAGAGTCACGGTGTGGCCACTAGGGGCACTGGGGAGCAGTCACCCCTCCGCTCCACCTGTGACCTTTGTGAAGCAAATGGGCTGGAGTTGCTAGATGTGTTTTTAGTGGAAAGCCTCCCATTTTTTAAATGTAGGCTTACATCTTTAAAACATTATGTGTCAGCTGAACAAAGAATCCTTGAAGTCCACATGTACGAGGCTTGGTTTGAAGACTCTAGCCTAGAGCTTTAACCACTAAGGTCTCTAGGGCTTATGGTTATGATTATTTGGCCCCAAATTCTTCCTGACTTTTTTTTCCTCCTTTTCTCTCTAAAACTACAAGCCACTGGTTCCTTTCCCCATCCGGGTCCCCAACCAGTCTTTTTCTGAAGTCTAGCTCCTGTATGAGCGAGAGTATGACCTGAGATTCTGCAAAAGCATAGGCTTCTTGCAAAAGGCAAAAGTTCGTGTAATCAATCGTGCATGTCTCTTTCTGATGTCCCTTCCCTACCTGCAGAGCAGGGCTGTCCCTGGCTCCTCTAGGAGGGCAAGGAGAGTGCATGGGGGCAGGGAGCATTTCTGAAATGCTGCAAAGGTACACGGTGCTTGTGTTTCCTCCCTGCTGTTTACTTTCTAAGTGTGTGTGCATATGAATATTTATCAGTTTTCCAAATTTTATGGTGGTTGAGTGAGGCAAATGATGTAAAGCACTTTAATAACTGTTCATGTGCACCGTCAGCTCAAGGCAAGCTGTCTCCCCCACCGAGAGTGGGCCATTTTTCCTGAGGGGCTGAGAGGATCTTTACACCCGATGGCAGTCAGGGGACTCTCTGATTGTCCTTTTGGTTGTTATGTTTCACTGTGGAGTCCTCCTTTCAAAGTGCTTGAAGGATTTCCTGTGTGAGGTGAATTACCAGTCTTTTGTCGGAGAGTGAGCAAATCAGATCTTGGCCTGAGAAAGTAAAAGAGCAACCTTTGAGTAGCAGATCATCCTGCGCTCTGGTGACCAGTTCCTTGCTTTTAAAAATGGGTGTGTGCTCAGGTCCACAGGCACCTGGGCTCAAGGTTCCATGTCCTGCGGGGTCAGTCGGATCCTCAGAGCAGTGAATTCCTAGTAGTTCCTTGTGCAGACAGACAGTGGAAGCCATTCCAGGAGATAGACAGGGACAGGGAGGGACAGGGACAAGCAGAGATGGACAGGGAGGGACAGAGAGAGGGAGAAAGAGAGAGAGAGAGGCCCGGAGAGGCATAGATGGAGAGGCACGTTGAGAGGTGGGGACGAGGGAGCTCTGTGCTGGCTGCAGAGATACGGAGAGATGCTTGGTTTGGCTCCACAGGAAGGTAAAAGGGAGTCCTTGGTGGGGGGGGGGGGGGGGGGGGTTGGGAGGGAAGGCAGGGTGGAGCACAGTGAAGTCCTTCCTCTGAGGGAGCCTCTCTTGCGGAAGGGACATGGGTCTTCAGGGAGTGAGGATGCAGCCACACTAATTACACGAGGCAGAGCTGAAGCCTCCTAGTGTTAAACAGCTTATCTCGCCCAAAAGGCTTTGAAAGGCAACTGTGTTCAAGAGTGCCAGACGTCTTGTGAGATTCTATATCTATTCAACAGTTGTCCTTGGATGGAGTCACAACAGGTGTTATTGCATTTAAAAATTATTTATCACACGGGTGACTCATACCATCTGAGGTAGCTTAACAGAATTTATGGTTCTATTAAGCACTTCCTCGTCGCAATCCTGACTGTGCCCCCACCCACACGCACACACATTGTAAGGCTTCCATTGCTTTTATTGGCGTCTGTGTTCATTATCTTATTTGATTTCCTAACAATGGGTGAGTATCATTTTCAACATTTTACAGATCGGGATAGTAATGCTTCAAATAATAATGAGCCCTACCCTATGTTGAGTGGATCAGTGTATGTTACCACTCACTGTGACGATGCTGTCCATATTTTTACCTCCTTTAATCCTGCCGGCGATCCTGAGAAGTGGTGATTGCCAGCCCATTTTACAGATCAGGAACTGATGTCTAGAAAGATTAAATCACTCACCCAGGATCACATTAGGGGAAGTGGATTTGATCCTGGCTCCCAGGGCCTCCTGCAGTGGAGACAGCTGCTGCAGTCATTTCTGAGAACAGAGCTAAATGACATGAAGAGCATTCTCTCTCTCTCTCTCTTTTTTTTTTAAGATTTTATTTATTTATTTGACAGAGACACACAGCGAGAGAGGGAACACAAGCAGGGGGAGTGGGAGAGGGAGAAGCAGGCTCTCCGTTGAGCAGGGAGCCCGATGTGGGGCTCGATCCTAGGACCCTGGGATCATGACCTGAGCCGAAGGCAGCCGCTTAACCTTAACCGACTGAGCCACCCAGGCGCCCCTTTTTTTTTTTTTTTGAGATGTTAAAACTGAGGCTTTAAGCATTAAAATGACTTTGCCCAAAGTTACCTTCTTCTTCTTCTTTTTTTTTTTAATTTTATTTTTAAGTAATCTCTACATACAACCCGGGGCTTACAACCCCGAGATCAGGAGTCACACGCTCTACCAGCTGACCCAGGCAGGTGCCCCCCAAAGTTACCTTCTATTGCATATTCACTATGATTGTGTTTCAGGTTTGCCCATATGACATTTATGAACTCTGTATTCTATCTAAGCATCTTTTATGTAACTTTCTTGACAAGTCAAAGTATTTTATCCCAGAAAATGTAGACAAGCGAACCTTTTCAGTTAGCTGAAAGACCTCAATCAAGTCATCATTTCCTTCTTCTGTCACTTACCAGGGTGTTTAACCTGGCATTGGATTCAACCATTGGATTTCACTGAGCAGAGAGGACTGAATGGTTATCGACCTAGATTCTCATGAAAAGACATGGTAGACTGTGCTTTAGGAAATCACTGTCCAGAGTGACTATCCCATCTCTTGACTCCCATTTTGGTGTGGTGGCAGCCCCACCAAAAAATAAAAGCTTTGAAATAGTATTGCTGTGTCTCCAAAAGGTGAGAGGTCATTTCATTGAAATTGCTTGGAGGTCAGCTTTGTAACAGGCAAAATCTCACTTTTTGCTAAATCAAGTTATTCTCCATTTAGTAAAAGAGCAATGCAAATATTGACACCACAGTTGATCCTTGGGAAGTTCCTTCTTGTCTATTCTTAATGATAGTTTACTTATTTATATACTGCCTCTTTTAAGATACCTCCTGGCATTCAGAACGAGGTGCAAGAAAAAAAATGGGAAAAGCAATATTTGGGGAAATACGGATAAATTAGGAGATAAAGGCCTAGTATGAAATGAAATGTAGCCTGCTGATTCAAAGTTGAGCCACAAATCCGTCTTTGACTTTGTCCTGACCAAACCAAAATGAGATTCAATTACATCCACTAGGAAACATTTGGCTTTCTCCTAAGGGAGCAAAACTTTTCCTGACACACAGAGTTCATAGAATCATTGAGCTCTGTTGCTAAATTATTTTCCTAGAAATAGTGTGGTATCACTACCCCCATCATGTGTGAGTACCCATTTTGACTTTTCCTCATAAACTTTGTGCATTCTCATTTTTTAATCACTGCTGATTTCACCAATGAGAAAATGGTATCTCAGTTAATTTTCATTTCATAGTTTTAGTGAAGATGAAAGCATTTTTCAGATTTTTATTAGCCATTTGTATGAACTCTTCTGTGAATTGTTAGTCTGCCTTTTGAGTGTTTTTTTTTTTTTAAGGGGCTTTAGTTTTTTAATTGATTTTTTCATCAGTTATAAAATGATACTGAGCTATTGATTTTTCCATGGATCAGAGACCATGTATCTTTATAGATAAGATCTTTAGAAGTTTGAGACTTTGAGAAGTGGTATTTAACTTTATGATATCATTAGTGACTTAAAGTCCTTTAAAATGGAATGTCAGGGGCGCCTGGGTGGCTCAGTTGGTTAAGTGTCTGACTCTTGATTTTGGCTCTGGTCATGGTCTCGGGGTCCTGGGATTGAGCCCCACATCCGGGCTCCACGCTCAGCAGGGAGTCTGTTTAAGGATTCTCTCTCTCTCTCTCTCTCTCTCTCTGCCCCCCACCCCCCTCTAAAATAAATCTTTTACAAAAATTTAATTTCAGTGCTTTTATCCTGGGCGTTTAGTTTGGGACAGACCTCACCACTCCCTATTGTCTTACCCCTTGTGACTGCCCTGGCCCCTT